ATAAATTTATTCGTAATCAAATAATTTTTCGATTCAGACGAATTTCATTTTCTGTTTTGTTTTCTTTCTAATTGAATTTGATGTCCGGCGTAAAAATAATAAATTGCAGCTGCAGATTCGAATACGAAGCCCGATAGGTACTTGATGATTGCAGCCAGTGGAGGCTTAAATCAACAAAGAATAGGGGTAACTAACTAAACTAGTCTTTTATTAAGTCTCGAAAATTCGAATTTCACAAAAAATTGAGTTTTCTTTTTTAAAGTACTCGATATCTTTCTTAATGTGGTCTTTAGATAATCGATGCTGTTGTTGTCGCGTATATCTTGAATGCTACCTTAATCGTGCCGAAGTTGGATCAAGAATCTTTCTGGAATGATTCTAGGTAGTTTTTGCTACATTCCCCCCCCNNNCCCCCCAAAAAAAAAAAAGAATGCTAATTGATTGATAATAACCTTTGGGGTTCGTCGTGTAGCAAATTTTCAGATATCTATGATGCAGACTGGTTCATGAAGTACCTGTCGAAAGAGGTGAAGATTATAAAAGAACTCCCTGATGAAAAGTCATGGAAAGTTGTAACAACTCGTGTACCTAGAAAATGCAATCCGAAATGCTACCTATCTCGTGTTTTGCCCATGTTTCAAAAGAAGAAGGTTCGTTTGTGTAATCATGTCTCGAAACTCGAAAGTCGTTTGATCTATTTTATCATTACTGTTATTATTATTTTTGTGGAATTTAAGGAAAACCCGGTCATTGTTTGTTTCCTCTTGTGTAGGCAGTTGAGCTTACAAAGTTCGATTATAGGCTCTCTAATTGGCTCGACGAGGATCTGCAAAAACTCCGTTGCAGGGTTAACTATCATGCTTTGAGGTTTAACAATCCCATTTTTGAGATGGGAAAGAAATTAGTCGAGCGGGTGAGAATGAAGAGCAAGCGCTTTGTGGCGCTACATTTAAGGTGACAATGGCTACTAATAAGTAATCTCTAACAAACACTTAAAAAGAAAATTCATCCTTTTTTTTTCATTATTAGCTAAAAAATAAGTTTTCGAAACAATAGATACGAACCGGACATGCTTGCCTTCTCGGGATGCTATTACGGTGGAGGAGAAAAGGAAATAAATGAACTAGCCGCGCTTCGTACGAGATGGAAAACTTTACGTGTAAGTTCAAAACGAGCTATTTTTTTCTTCACAAGTGGCGATTTTATTTTTGTGTAGTGATTCGAAATAGTTGAAAAACGGCATGTTTGGCAGTCAATGGATCCTGAGAGGGAAAGAAGGAATGGAAAATGCTTGCTAAGCCCGGAGGAAGTTGCGTTGTTGTTGAGGGCATTGGGTTTTGGACACGAGGCCCATATATACGTGGCGTCGGGCCAGATTTATGGAGGGAAAAAGGCTTTGGCGCCTCTAAAAGCTCTTTTCCCAAACATCCATACTAAAGAGACGCTTGCTAGCAATCAAGAATTGTCACGATTTTCGTCACATTCGTCACGTATGGCTGCATTAGATTTCATCGTTAGTGATGAAAGCGATGTACTCGTCACGAATAATAACGGGAACATGGCGAAGATACTTGCCGGTAGAAGGTATTTTTAATTTTTTAGTTAATTTATATTCGATGTTATAAATTAATCGATCCATGTTTTAAATGATGTTAATTATATATATTTTATTTTTTGCAGGAGATACTTTGGTCACAAACCGACAATCCGCCCGAACACCAGAAAACTAAACGAGTTGTTTGTTAACCGGAAAAACATGACTTGGGATGAGTTCTCTTCACGTGTTCGAACGAACCAAATTGGTTTCATGGGAGATCCAAGTGAGGTGAATCGGGCCACGGATAGCTTTCACGAAAACCCATTTTCTTGCATATGTCAAAATTTCGAACCATTTTCAGCTAATCAAATTAGAAGCACTTCCTTAAGAAGTCAAGTGATCCCGCCGGAATACAATCAAGATTCATCGGAAATGGAATATTTCGATGATGATTGATGCAAGTAACCGAGTAAATGTAGTTTGTGCATATGGATTTTGACCTTTTTTTCAAGGTACAGTTTTTTGGGCCTAATGGTGAGGCTGCAAACTCTCCTTAACCATTGAAACTGAAGTCTTTACACTCATTCGGCTAATTTCGTGACGAACTATATATAGAGAAATGTAGTGACTTGGCGTGCGGTACTGACTCGAATATTTTTTCGGGTTTTTTTTTTGGCAAACTTATATTCTGATCTATAAATTGTAATCTTTTCAGATGAAGATTTTGTTGTCTGTATTTTCTGGTAGCTGATGAAAATCTTGAGCAACTCGAGCAATTTATATATTTGTTAATAAAAAAATAATAAGTGGACAAAAAAAAAAAAAAAA